TATATATATATATTATCTATTTATATATAAGTAAAAATTATAGTAACTCGCGTGGTAATGTGATTATGTGTCTTCTTTTGCATAGATTTGATTCATGTTCGAATCCAACATTTAACATCTATTTTTTCCAATTAATTTTAATTAGTTAATTTCTAGCGAACTCGGGTCAAACACGAACAATAATATTTAAATTGAGTCGAACACGAACACAATGTTCACGAGTCAATTTTAAATACGAGCAATTTCGAACGAGCCGAACACAAGTCATGTCTGATCTCACTCAAGCTCAACTTATTTACAGCCCTAACTATAAATGATAGTTTAATCTATACTTAACCTCGCTAAAAAATAGCCATGCAAAAGAGAGAAAGCCCGACATTCTCCGTACAACATTTGAAATGTCAAATGAAGAATAAAGAATAGTGCACTCACCACACTACTTTCAAGTAACAACATAAGATCTAAATCTATCCCATCTCACTCAAAAATAATAATAATATAATTGAATAGGAGTTGAAATTCACTCGTTTATATTCGTATTAATAAATAAAGAATAACATGTTTGTGATATCATAATCATTCAACCAACCAAAATATAATGTCAGCTTAGCCTCTTAATTAAGAAAGATGTTTTCGTTGGGTAATGTGGAGACCCAGTCAACTGAAATTTACTTAGCCTCTTAATTAAGAATCTCACCTAACGCTCACCTACTTTCTCACCTATCACTCACCTACCACATCCCTACCTACCGCTCACCCACCTCCCACCTACCGCTTTCATGGTTTATATAAATAGTCTCTTTTGGCTTAGAGGAGAAGCCAAGCCAAGCAAGGTCAAGTCAAGTCTTTTTGAGAGCTAAGAGAAATAGAGGAAGAGAGAGAATAAAAAACGTCGATGAGCTCGACGGTGTAATTCCTAAAAGAACTAAAATTCTCTGCAGCTCATTGGATGTAGGCAAATTTGTCGAACCACGTAAATCTGTGTGGCGCTCTGGTGTTTTTTCTGTTGTGCAATTTTTCTCGTTTCATTTTTCTTTTTTTTTTGTCGTTGTTTTTCACAACAATTGATATCAGAGATTGGATTATAATCTAAGGAAGAACGATGGGCGGAGACGAAGTGATGACATCGGAGATCGAGAAGTTAAATGACACAGATTTTGTTTACTGGAGGATGCAGATAGAAGACTACATATATGAGAAAAAACTTCATCTTCTGTTACTCGGAAAACAACCAAAAAAGATGGACGAGGCGGAATAGAATTTGTTGGATCGACAGGTTATAGGGGTTATACGATTAACCCCATCAAGATCGGTTGCCCATAATATCATCAAGGAGAGAACTACTACAGATCTCATGATGGTTTTATCATGTATGTATGAAAAGTCATCGACGAATAACAATGTGCTTCTGATGAAAAAGTTATTCAACTTGAAGATGACGGAGGACATGTCTGTTGTTCAACACTATCACAAATCAGTTGTCATTTGTTGAAATTTATTTTGATGATGAGATAACAACCAAAAAAGATGGACGAGGCGGAATAGAATTTGTTGGATCGACAGGTTATAGGGGTTATACGATTAACCCCATCAAGATCGGTTGCCCATAATATCATCAAGGAGAGAACTACTACAGATCTCATGATGGTTTTATCATGTATGTATGAAAAGTCATCGACGAATAACAATGTGCTTCTGATGAAAAAGTTATTCAACTTGAAGATGACGGAGGACATGTCTGTTGTTCAACACTATCACAAATCAGTTGTCATTTGTTGAAATTTATTTTGATGATGAGATACGTGCGCTGATATTGTTTGTTTCATTGTCAAATAGCTGAGAAGCCATGATGATAGCAGTTAGTAGCTCTGCAGGTAAATCTAAGTTGAAATATGATGATAATCGTGATTTGATTTTGGCTGAAGAGGGGCGCATGAAGGATTCTGGCGAGCCTCGTATTCAAGTTCAGCGCTAAATGTTGATTCCAGAGGGAGATCACATGACAAGAACTCAAACAGAGGAAGATCAAAATCAATGTCTGGTCAGCAACCTGCTAAAATTGTGGCAAGGCTAGTCACATAAAAAGGAATTACAAGAATCCTAAAAAGAAGGGGAATGATGATGTCAATGCTATAATTGAAGAAATACAGGATGTGTTATTGCTGACAGTTCACAGTTCTGTTGATGATTGGATATTGGATTCAGGGGCTTCCTTCCATACATCTTCTCGTCGGGAGTTAATGCAAAATTATGTTGCAGATAACTTTGGGAAGATATATCTGGTGATGGAAAAGCTCTGGATGTGGTAGGGGTGAGACATTGTTGTTGCACTCCCTACCAAGAGCAAATGGACTTTGTAAATGGTCAAACACGATTCTGAGTTGAAGAAAAACCTCATCTATGTTGGGCAGCTCAACGATGGTGGTCATTCGGTAGTGTTCTCAGATAACAACTGGAAGATTGCCAAAGGAGCATTATTACTGGCTCGGGGTAAGAAAACTGACACACTATATATGACTACAACTTTACTCAGGTGTGGACACATGAGTCAGAAGTGCATTATGGGGAAGCAGAAGAATATCATTTTCCTGAAAAGTGGTAGAGCGCCAAGGGCAGGAAAATCAAACCTTGTACAGATAGATTGTGGAGAACCACAGAGTTATGAAGAAATCTTGCAAGATGAGAATTC